GGCATTTACCGGTATTGACGCTACACTTTTTGCCAGTCATGTAGGCAGTAATGCTGTGAAAAAATGCTTCGCTTGCTCCCGTATTCGTATTTGAAATGGCACGTGTTTTGGTCACAGTTGGACCAATTCAATGAAAAATTTAAAACGCAAAATTTAAACGAAAAAGATTTTATACTAGTTTGAAACGCATTATGTTCTGTTCGTTTAAATTAACAATTGTTCGCTGTTTTGTAAACGGTATTATTTAATGCTTTCTATAATATATCATGTTTTTACGAAAGGGCGAAAAGTATTTACTTAGGTGGTAATAGTTGTGGTAGGTATCGTCATGAAATGTGAAGTACGAGATACCAGCACTGCTGGCGCTGTCAGCGGGTAACTAGTTGCTGGCGCTGTCAGCGGGTAACTAGTTGCTGGCGCTGTCAGCGCTGCCAGCAGTGGCCAGCACGCCACTAGTTGCTGGCACTGTCAGCGCTGCCAGCAGTGGCCAACACTGTCTGCACGTCTCAGTGTTCCTGTCTGTCACTGTCTGCACGTCTCAGTGTTCCTGTTTGTCACTGTCTGCACGTCTCAGTGTTCCTGTCTGCCACTGTCTGCATGTCTCATTGTTCCTGTCTGTCACTGTCTGCATGTCTCAGTGTTCCTGTCTGTCACTGTCTGCACGTCTAAGTGTTCCTGTCTGTCACTGTCTGCACGTCTAAGTGTTCCTGTCTGTCACTGTCAGCATGTCTCAGTGTTCCTGTCTGTCACTCTGCACGTCTCAGTGTTCCTGTCTGTCACTGTCTGCACGTTTAAGTGTTCCTGTCTGTCACTGTCTGCATGTCTCAGTGTTCCTGTCTGTCACTCTGCACGTCTCAGTGTTCCTGTCTGTCACTGTCTGCATGTCTCAGTGTTCCTGTCTGTCACTGTCTGCATGTCTCAGTGTTCCTGTCTGTCACTGTCTGCACGTCTCAGTGTTCCTGTCTATCACTGTCTGCATGTCTCGTGTGTTCTTGCATGTACTGGGAGCAAACCTTATCCAAGTTAAAATGCTCTTTCCAACTGTGGATTACACTGTGTTCGGGAAATAGAAACAGAACTCTGTTCCGCATTTCTGAGTATAAAACTCGAAATGACAAAATATTGAGCGATGTATTTCCAAACATCGATCTTTGATGCTTAAGGCAGCATAATGTGATTCTTACCAAAATCGATCATGTACACGCGATTTTTCACGCCCAAATACCTGCCGTTGTTATAACAACACTTCTCTTTAACTTCACTTCTTGTTTGTCCGCAACAAATCTTATAATCGATATTTAACACTCCTCTACCTGTCCAATCGATCTGAAATTTTGCACACTTGCGTAGAGTCGGAGACAATGCATAAATCAGTTGATAGAATAAATAATTTTGAACATTTAATTTTTATATATATTGAACTAATTTTTATAACTTAAAAATTAAATTGAAAATTCATTGTACTTCTGTAACTTCGAAGATACTGGCCTCTTTAGAAGTGTTAATTGTCTTTGAAAAGTAATTTTTAAACGCATATTATTTTATGATCTCAACTCTCTAAAGTCACAATTCTTGCCAAGTAATCTGTGAGTGGCGAGCTGTAAATTTTCGCCTACGCGTGCCTCAAAAGTACATATGGCTTGCGTGACAGCTTCATAGGGATTACGGCTGTGCCAATGCTATTATCTCGTGTTGTTGTGTCGTCGTCAGGCGCGTAGATTTTGTTGCAATCTTGCCTAGATTTTGTTGCAATCTTGCCGATCGCTGCGCTCACCATGCCTTTTGAATGTCTGTCTCGTGGACTATAAAGCACTCCTGTATTCACCTGTCCCTAACTTGCCTTTGTGTCGTGCTGATTGAGGCAGATGTCCTAGGCCTTGTAATCCGATCTTCTCCGCGTTTCTCTTCTCGAAGCTGAACTGATCCGATCAGTTGCTGCTTAAATGTGTTCTCTCTCTGGCTGGGTGTCTGTCTACAACTGCACTTCACTGGGTGGAAATAAGCATGCAACATAGAATGAACTGAATCTTTCATTCTAAAAAAATTACCATTCTAAAAATTACCAATTTTATAACCGTAAAAACTACTACGAAATAACCGAGAAAACTACTACGACTGTGCAGTTCTATTGTTAATGCATTTACTAAAGAACTTTATTCTCTAGCTAAGCTCCAAGTAGATTCATAGTTGAAAATATTCCGTTTTTACCATGAAACTGCCTCGTTATCCATCGTAATTTGTGGTGCGTGTGGTGGCGTGGAGCTCGTTCTCAGCCGTTGCCCTCATAGGTCACGGTTAGCCATTTAACTTGAGTTCTTCCATTCAATGTTTTATTTATGTGTTAAATGGTCAATTTCTGTATTAACGCTCGTTTGAAGGACCTCTATGGTCTAAAATCATCATAGCCGCCTGTGTTTTCTTGTTTTCGTGACGACTTTCTCTTTGAAGTGGCTTTTTATATACGAGCATTTTCAGCAATTTATATTTTCGTTCACAAGAATTCCTAGGAGAGTATCCCCTTGAGCGCCACAATGGTTTTCATGCAGGTAGATTTTCGAAAATAAATTAAATTCATAGTAATCCGTCGTCCGTCTCGAGCAAAAAGTATACTCACACGAAACGGCTTAATTGGGTTGCGGAAAAATAAAATCGCATTGCCTATTTTATAAATTAATTTGTCGGAACTCTCAACAAAATATTCGTGATGAATGTATGGAAGGTTTTAGCTAAACATCATTCTGCCCCGGTGATGATTTGAAGGCCAGGAAAAGGCCGATTGTGGCGCGGCGCCGATTTTGAATAGGGAGTGACAGCGCCTAGATGTGAGGCTGGGAAGTCGAACCTGTTTTGACGGCGCACCTTATTCTCCTGACCATAATTGTGCGGGACTTGTTTTGTATTGCGTGCTTCAGTCATATTCCTATTCACTAATATTCGTCCTGGACAAAATGTGTGTTTCGTCGCAAAATATGGTCGGGCGATCCATCGTGGCGGCGATCCATCGTGGCCTGGGACTGCTACGTCCCAAACAAATACTAAGGAAACTAAGGCATCATGCAGACTCCTACTAGAGACCGGGCGTCGATGCCGTCCCAACAGACACTAAGATACTGTCAATTAAATCTATCACTTTTAATAGCAAAAAAAAATTTGAATAACCGGACTCTCGCGTCAGAGTTTCTCCTTTAATGGATCATCTCTGCATTATAGCTGTAGACGTCTGCTAAAGTGCCCCGAGTCTGCTGTGCTATGGAAGAAGCTTCTGTTTGATACCTCATGCTCAATATATGATTATGTTCTACCGAATATGCGCGCCATTTTAATTCTTGCTGGTCGTCCTTTTGCATGGATTGCAATTCTCATATGCATCCTAGTTTCGGTTTTTAGTCGATCTGACTAAAATTGTTTTAAATACTTTCACAACATTCTTATGAATAAGTTATTAAGTCTGTGGACGGAAATAGTGTCCGATTAGACACAAATCAATCAGAGATATTTCTTATTATCGCCTCCTGAGATTGAAGACATTTATGGCAAATCACTAATATTTTGTCTGCGTATAGTGAGATGATGAAAAATGATACAATTATGATGTCAATTATTAAATCTATGAATTTATTAATATGAACGTCGTAATTGAAAAATGAAAAAAAAACATTGGGAGGATGCATTTAATTGCAATTAAAAATGACGACCAGGCGTAAATAAATGATTATAGCAAGATAAGTGATTCCTATAAAGCTGCGGTTAATTACTGTCTGGGGTTAGTACCTATTAACTTCTCGCGGGTAATGGATGGTTGGATGTTTTTATTTAGTCTTTGTATATCAATGGTGACGTGGCTTGTGTATGGTTTAATATGCTTATTGTCGTCCTGTGACGAGGTGAAAATATTACGAAATCCTAGGTACTTATATTGATGTTGATAGTTTAGAAAGCAAAGGTATGTTTAGATGATGGAGGTAGAAAAGTGTAGGTACCTATTGTTTATGATAACCTGCGTTTTTTTACTAATGTCCCCTTATTTATGAAGGAGTATTGTCAGTATAGGTACCTATTGATGAAGGAGTATTGTCAGTGTAGCTGTGTAGGTACTACCTATTGATGAAGGAGTTGGATGACGGAAGGATGTCGCATGCTCACGTGCATCAACGTCGTCCTCGGTGCGTCTCCTATACACATGCCTCGGATTTGCTCGTCTGATCAATTTCGCCTTTATCGCAACCGCTCATTGATAGCAGCTATTGACGGTCTGGCCACCTCCAATCTTTCATTCTCTTCGTCAGCGTTTTTTTCCCGTACTCAACGAAGCTTAGAGTTCTACACTTGATAATTTCTGTATTTGCATTCATGGCACCATGCTACTGGTATCGTTCGTTGTTATTATAGTCGCAGGAGATAGTTATTTTATCATTGTGTCTGTCGGAAGAATAAGCGTTGTTCAATGTTTCTTAGATCATCCATTTTAATCTTGCGTATACACTCTCCCTCAATACCAGTTTGTGTTGTTTTTTTCAACTCTTTCCTACTCTGTTCACAATTATCTTACAATCTGACACGCGGCATTGTGAAATATCTATGCAATTCAATCTTAATGATATGTTTCTGCCCTATCATCATTTGCTCGCACTTCTCCCTGTGCAATACTTGTTGAATTGCTCACAGTTTTGCGATGTCTTGGGATAACAACATTAAAAGGACGGAATCACCAACTGGTTGGGGAAAAGTGAACACAATGAATGATGTCTTATGCGCATTATTGTTTTCAGTCGATCCAATATTTTTTTTAGGTTCTCAAGCATTTTTATTGTTTTCAGTTCCAATATTTTTAGCTTGCAATGCCAATGAAAATTGTCCTAGCTTATTACTGTTTTCAGCCGATCCAATATTTGTTTAGGTTCCCAAGCCAATGAAGTCTTATCGCATTACTGTTCACTATCGATCAGATATATTGCAGTTTACCAGGGATAAGCGCTAATTGGTACTTGTTTGATGTGCAGGCGTGCCCTTCCCTCCCTCTCACAAGATGACCTGCGCTGAGGTGTTTGATCCCAAGACTGGTAAACCAAAATTCGACTGGCTCAAGAACCACTTCATCTTGGAAGGCCGCATCGAAGAGTCGGCAGCTCTGCGTATTATCAACGAGGGCGCCGCATTGCTGCGTCAGGAGAAGACTATGATCGACATAGAGGCTCCTGTAACAGGTGACATAGAGGCTCCTGTAACAGGTGACATAGAGGCTCCTGTAACAGGTGATGACATAGAGGCTCCTGTAACAGGTGACGACATAGAGGCTCTTGAAAGTACACGTAGTTTTTAGGACAAGTAGCAGCCTAAATACACGTAGAAGCTGATTTCTCGTCAATGATTGATGTATTTAGCTCGAAAAACCGTCAGTGATCAGTTGAGGGAGTAACGAACTCGTAAGTATTCTTGAGAGTGCGGTGTTCACTGTTCGGTATCAGCCTGGAGAGAAGTTCATTGAGGAACACAACTCATTGGTAACTAATATCATGGATGACCCTCACAAAAACATTCTTGCTAAAAATGATCTATTTTATAGCTCAAAACTTGAGTTATATACATCCCTAGAACTATGCTACCGTATTACTATTATCTTAATTAAACAGAGTTTAATTTTATTTCGCTTCCATCGTAATCTCATTACTACTCATTATAATATCCTGTTGATTGTAGGGGTTATCGTATACATCACGTATAAATAATCATTTCTCGATCAGTTTCATGTCTCATTCAATAGAGGTCCTCATGTTGTAGGGAACTCTACTATACGGGTAATGACTTAGTAAGATATCGAAATATTATTTCAAAGATACGTTAAGATCAATTTGTACTATCAAAGGCATCCCCTCTGTTGATGTGTGTAATACACACAGCGTTATTTTATTTCGAACACACGGTTGAGTTTACTTATTGAACAATTACAGGCATGCAGCCTTTTAATCTGACTATAATATTCACTGCTTAAATTCATTTTAAATATACATTGGAATGGTTAGATGAATTGGGATTTGAACAATGCACGGTGTTTAACCTGTTGACCGGATGAAGCTTTTTGTTTCAGTATGTGGCGACATCCACGGCCAGTTCTATGATCTGATGAAGCTTTTTGTTTCAGTATGTGGCGACATCCACGGCCAGTTCTATGACCTGATGAAGCTTTTTCTTTCAGTATGTGGCGACATCCACGGCCAGTTCTATGATCTGATGAAGCTTTTTCTTTCAGTATGTGGTGACATCCACGGCCAGTTCTATGATCTGATGAAGCTTTTTCTTTCAGTATGTGGTGACATCCACGGCCAGTTCTATGATCTGATGAAGCTTTTTGTTTCAGTATGTGGTGACATCCACGGCCAGTTCTATGACCTGATGAAGCTTTTTGTTTCAGTTTGTGGTGACATCCACGGCCAGTTCTATGACCTGATGAAGCTTTTCGTTTCAGTATGTGGTGACATCCACGGCCAGTTCTATGACCTGATGAAATTGTTCGAGGTCGGAGGACCGCCCAGCTCCACCAAATACCTCTTCTTAGGCGATTATGTTGACCGAGGCTACTTTAGTATAGAGGTGAGGTCATGACTAAGTCTTCTGAGGCTGCTTTAGAATATACCGTATATATATAGAGGTGAGGCCATGTCTTGTGAGGTGTTAGTGCAGTGTTACTTGCAGGTACCTGGTGAGGTGAGGCCAAGTATTGTGAGGTTAGGCCATGTCTTGTGAGATGAGGCTATGCCTTGTGAGGTGAGGCCGTGCCTTGTGAGATGAGGCTATTCCTTGTGAGATGATGCCTCACAATAAAAATTGAGTTGTTTAACCAGCTGGTCAGCCATGGAATGAAAAAAATATATAAAGCTGCATGAAATTCAGTATCGTTATCATAATAACATCGTCTATTTGCCTTATCGTTATTCATGTCCCATTAGCATACGATTCGTGATAAAAATATTCTTTCATGGCGCATTTTCGTATCATGAATTCTTATATAATGGACTGTCAGGAGGTTACAGGGAATATTTTCTTTTTATCAATATTGAGGTACGTACATTTGAAATGTTATGTCATATTAGTGTTACTAAACGAGGAACAGTTAAGAACTGATGTTTACTCAAATTAATGAATAATATTCCAGTTTTGAAAGAGTTTTGATTGTGTTTGTAGACATCAAAATTATTAAGATCGCGTTAAATGTTATAGGCACCGGTACTTTATTTCTTGAAGAGATTTTTGTCGAAAAATCGATTGCACTTGTACTAATGTGTATGTATATTTTTTTCAGTGTGTGCTATGTCTGTGGGCGTTGAAAATATGCTATCCAACAACCCTGTATCTTTTGAGAGGGAACCACGAATGTCGGCATCTTACAGAATACTTCACATTTAAACAAGAGTGTCAGTACACTTGTCTCTTATAATCCCATAATAATCATAAATTACTCTATTTCGTAATCATACGTGCTGCTATTTATTACATGTAATTGTTAATATTTGGAATTGTATGATTTGGTTATAAAATTGTTTCCGTTCATGTTGAATATAATTATAATGTTTCTATTTAATTAACGACGATGTTGAGTCTCATCTTAATAGCATGTTCGCGTTTCTAGGTTGCAAATATTTGGTATAATTTTTTAAGTGAAACATAATTTGGAGTAGAGACTTCAGGCGAAATTTGAATGAATCACAGCTAAAGATTTAGTTTTAGGTTTTAGTTTCAGGAAACATTAAGTTTTCTAATGTACTGGTAAAATAAAGCAGTAGGTATTACTTGCATTTAAAATAAAGAGCAGTATTACTTGCAGGTAAAATAAAGCAGTATTACTTGCAGGAATTATTATTATTACTATTACTATTATTATTATTATTATTATTATTGTTATATTCATCATCTATATTATTATTATTTTTAGCGCATTTTCTCATTTATGGAAAAATGCACTATTGTGCTCGCCATGTCCGTCTGTCCGTCCGTCCGTGACCTCAAGTTTTCGTCGACGAGAAAATGCGCTCTCTGTCACTGACTGCAGTGAGTACCGTACTGAGTTATATTTTGTGTAATTCAAGCTCGAGGACATAAGGAAGTTGTAATAAACTGAGCTCCCATTTTACATTTTTTTCAGTACGTTCTCAATTTATAGTTACATACCTAGTTATAGTTCATAGTTATTCCGTTGCGATTTTGAGGTAAATAGTTTGCTTGTTGACGTATTTTCAGTTTTTTAATTCTATGTGATGATATTACAGTTAGACCGATTCTAGAGGAAAACTCAATTTTCAATTGAAGTACTGTCATGTACATCGATATGTTTTGGTTTGTTGCCTTGATTTATCTGCATTCTAATAATTGATAACATAATTTCTCTAGATTTTGTTCTGGGTGTATTTTATTTATTGGTCTCATTTCTTTGCATTCATTATACAATGCTCTTAATTTCTATATGTTTCAATTTGTTGCCTTGATTTATCTGCATTCTAATGATTCATGAGATAATTTCTGTAGATTTTGATTTATTTCTTTAACTTCTTTGCATTCATCAAGTGAAGATACGTATAATCTCTATGATTATATGTATGATATGATATATATGATATGATTCAATTTGTTGCCTTAATATATCTGTATATTTATAAGTGCTGTATTGCAGTTGGACCGATTCAAGGAGCCCCCAGCGTTCGGGCCGATGTGCTCATTTCTTTGCATTCATTATACAATGCTCATAATCTCTAAATATTTTAATTTGTTGCCTTGATATATCTGGATATTTATAAGTGACTGTATTGCAGTTGGACCGATTCAAGGAGCCCCCAGCGTTCGGGCCGATGTGCGACCTGCTGTGGTCGGACCCGCTCGAGGAGTTCGGTAACGAGAAGAACGCCGAGCATTTCAGCCACAATTCTGTACGCGGATGCTCGTATTTCTACAGTTATGCGGCGTGCTGTGACTTCCTTCAACACAACAACCTCCTGTCCATCATACGGGCGCATGAAGCGCAGGATGCTGGGTAAGCCAATTTCTTTTTAGCGCATTTTCTCATTTAAGAGGTGAGGGAACGTAGGGATGGTTACCAAAAAGACCGCCTCTCCCTCGAGGACTGTCCCAGAGTAACGAGGCGCTGAGGGTTGAGGGTGAGGGGAAGGGTACAGGCTGCGTGGACTAGAAGGGATCTCCCTCATTAGCGCATTTTCTCATTTATGAAAAAATGCACTATTGTGCTCGCCATGTCCGTTTGTCTGTTCGTCTGTCTGTTCATCTGTCTGTCCGTCCGTCTGTCCGTCCGTGACTTCATGTTTTCGTCGACGAGAAAATGCGCTCTCTGTCACTCACCGCAGTGAGTACTGAGTCATATTTTTTCTCATAACCGCCATTTTTTTGCCATCTGTTATTTTTGCAAGTGATTTTTCTCAGTAAATTTGATGGTTGCCTCTTAACCTCAAATGTAACAACCTCCATACGAGCGTACTACAAAGCCGTTTGTTTTTGTTTTCTTCGTAATTGGCATTATTCTAAATGTACAATCTTATTTCTCAACAAACGGCTGCAAAATGCCCAAAATTCTGGGTCAACACAAGAGTTTTTATTTTCAAGTTATTTTAATAATGAAAATATATGGTTGTATATTTATAACATCATGTCAATATATATACTATATACGTAACATATAAACATATATATAATAATGTCGTAGTTTTGTATGTATTTATTGTTATTGTGTGTTTTGTGCGCAGCTATCGAATGTACCGCAAGAGTCAAACGACTGGCTTCCCTTCCCTCATCACCATATTCTCGGCACCGAATTACTTGGACGTCTACAATAACAAGGTCTCTTATCTTATCTTATATCGTATACAACATATCAATAACAAGGTCTCTTATCTTATCTTATATCTTATACAAGATATCAATAACAAGGTCTCTTATCTTATATCTTATACAACATATCAATAACAAGGTCTCTTATCTTATCTTATATCTTATACAACATATCGATAACAAGGTCTCTTATCTTATCTTATATCGTATACAACATATCGATAACAAGGTCTCTTAGCTTATCTTCTATCTTATACAACATATCAATAACAAGGTCTCTTATCTTATCTTATATCTTATACAACATATCAATAACAAGGGCTCTTATCTTATGTTATATCTTATACAACATATCGATAACAAGGTCTCTTATCTTATATCGTATACAACATATCAATAACAAGATCTCTTAGCTTATCTTCTATCTTATACAACATATCAATAACAAGGTCTCTTATCTTATCTTATATCTTATACAACATATCAATAATAAGGTCTCTTATCTTATCTTATCTTATCTTATACAACATATCAATAATAAGGCCTCTTATACGTAGTGCTGCTCTGCAACATCTTTCTGCAGTCGCAATCAAAATAAAAATTTAGAATACTTTGTTTTATTGATTATTTCATGACAGTTCGTCTTCGGTATTCGCGCAATCAGGTTTTCGTATCATGATTAATGTTTTTCTTGTAAGGTTAGTTCAATGATAGTTCAACTGAGGCTGTTGAACCGAGGCTGTTGAACTGAGGCTGTTGAACATTCATCCACCACCAGAGAATGGTGGTGATGAATGGTGGATTACTGGTAGTGGATGACCAATGAATGCAGGTGAATGCTTCAACAGCTCAAAGCTGAACAGTATTTGTGTTGCAGGCTGCCGTGTTGAAGTACGAGAACAACGTGATGAACATTCGACAGTTCAACTGCTCTCCACACCCGTACTGGCTACCTAACTTCATGGATGTCTTCACATGGAGTCTGCCTTTCGTCGGCGATAAAGGTAAATAGATTTATATAAGATTTACGCTTCGTAAGTAAATATATTTATCTACAAATTACGCTTCAAAGGTAAATAGATTTAAATAAGAATTTCGCTTCCTACGTAAATATATTTATCTGCGAAATGCGCTTTGTTTTACATTTACGCTACTCACGCTGCTGTAAATCATTTACAAATGAACGGTGAATTACTGAAATGTGAAGTGATGTGTGGACTAAAAGGTCAATTGGTAAGGATTTACAACCATTGATACTTTTGATTTTCTTTGTGCTGCTTGATTTTTTCCAATGTGTTCTCAAGACGAAAGCGGGGAGAATTCATGGCAATGACAAAATTTCACTTTGGCATGTAATAATTATTATTTAGACGCGTTATTGACGTTTACGAAAACGGCGGTTGATGTACCTTGTTGCGCCGGGCGGCTTAGATGGCCCACGGGGGAGGGGAGGTGAGGGAACGTAGGGATGGTTACCAAAAAGATCGCCTCTCTCTCGAGGACTGTCCCACAGTAACGAGGCGCTAAGGGTTGAGGGGAAGGGTACAGGCTGTGTGGACTGGAAGGGATCTCCCTCATTCAGGGCAACCAGCAATAGGAGTTCGTTTGACCCTGGAGGTGTAGGCTGCTAGGGAACTGCAGGGCCCTAGAGGGAAGCTGGGTCAGCGCTGTGCGATAAGGACTTTGAAGCCAGGCTTCTTACAAGGCGTTGGAATTAGATGCTCACTTGCGGTCAACATTGATAGAGGTAGTTGTGTTACATTCGTACGGTCCTCCTGGTACAAATTTAAGGATCCTGAAACAGGATCCTGAATCCTGTTGCCTAAAGCTGCCTTTATGACGCGAACGGAAAATCACTGCATTTGCTTAGTAAGAGGAGGCATGATGCCTTCCCTTAATCGGGTGGCCACAAGGGGACCAAATCTGGATTAAAAATTAGCCTTTATGGGCTTCCTCCAAAATAAACAAAGACGATGGGAAATGAAGGGTGCAGGGGCCGTAGGGCGCTGGCCTGGAACGTTCCGCGATCTAAGTGGGCAGACGAGATAAGATCGATATTATCGGTGTGGACGTGTATGATGGACGTCGTTGTGAGGCAGCAGCTTGTCATTATCAAGGCCTAGTCGGTGGTTATGTGCAGTTCTTAATGCGTGTCACGGTGTGCGCTTATATTAAAAAATCTAACTCGGTACTCACTGCAGTGAGTGACAGAGAGCGCATTTTCTCGTCCGTCCGTGAAGTCACGGACAAACAGACGGACGGACCGGACAAACGGAGGAACATGACGAGCTCAATAGCGCCTTTCTTTCCATAAATGAGAAAATGCTCTGAAAACTCTTGGTTGAATATCATTTTTGAAGAAGTTAAGTGACAAATCAATGGTGAAATATACAAATAACACATCCTCTTGTTTGCAGTGACGGAGATGCTGGTGAACGTGCTGAGTATTTGCTCAGACGACGAGCTCACAAACGAAGGCGATCTCTCACCTGAGGATGGTAAGACGCTCCACTCCAGCACCATTATTGCTCTTTATTATTATTTATTATTGGTTACAATGATAACTGCAGGGCGTCTGGTGCTCATCATTATTTGCAATATTCCTGGTCCCCTACATTCATCAACTCTGGTTGTCCGGTGCCTTCGCTTGCCGCTTATCACTGGATTTTTCCAGTCATGTTTACGGTTTTGTTAGTGGCTTTCTATCGCTGGTTTGAAGCTTGAGGAGTCTGGTGTCTAGGGTCGGTGTGTTGGAATAAAACCTAATGCATTCGCTGCGGTGACTCGGGTTGAGGAGTTGAGATTTATGGTCTACAGGACACATATAGCACTAGCTCCTTGGGTTGAGACTCGGGTTGAGGAACTGAAATTTACGGTATATAGGGTTCGTATAGCATTAGCTACAGCTGCTCGGGTTGAGGAACTGAGCTGTATGGTATATAGGACAAATATAGCACTAGCTCCTTGGGTTGAGGAGCCGACATTTATGGTATATAGGACAAATATAGCACTAGCTCCTTGGGTTGAAGAGCCGACATTTATGGTACGTAAGACAAATATAGCATTAACTAAAGTTCCTCGGGTTGACGTACTGAAATTTATGGTATATAGGACACATAGCATTTGCTACAGTCCCTCGGGTTGAGAAGCTGAGATTTAGGCGCCATCTAAGGGGTCAAGATTTCATTTCCTGCAGTAACGTTGAATGAAGAACTGATATTTATGGTCTCGTTACCTCTTTCTAAACACCTTTATTGTAACTTTTACGCGCATTGCGTTTCCTTGGAGATGTTTTGGAGCCGCATAAGGGTAGTAGCCATTCATTATGTATATATAATCAATGAAACGCGTGGGGATTTTTATTCTAATTTATTGCTTGCGTTTCAAAGCCTGATGGAGGGTTCTTGCGACCGTCCTATCGAGATCTGGACATCATTGCCTTCATGGGATTGTAATTATTAATGAAGTAATGTAATGTTCCATTTTAATTATTCATGAGTGCGATTGTTAGCTCGAGTTGAGGTGTTGATATCTGGCGGGTTGTTTTACAATTGGTATCATTGATGAGCAAGAGTCACATTGCGTGGTATACGATGATGTACCAGAAGTCAACAATGCTGCAATTCATCATTTACATCGTTTGTTGCCCAGCGGCTTTCGTCGTTATTATTCAATGTTTCTTATTCTTATCGAAAGTTGGTATTCCGAGTGAACTCCAGTGTTGTCCTCATGCTGACTGAATCAAAATTATTTGCTGTATAAAGATTAAATTTGTAATTCATCAAGCTTCCCGCTGCTAATAAGTTGCTGGATTAAGTATGTTGAATAGCTCACTCAGAACAATAAATATGTCATAATGTCAAAACCTTGATGCTTTGATACACGTGGTACAAGCAAGAAGCGGTCGTAGCATATAGCGTATTTGGACAAGTCTCGCTTATTTCTATGAGTGTATTTTCATATACTTCATTGAAACTTCGATATTGTAGTCAGCCAGCAGCAGGTAGCCTGGAACAAATAACCACAAATTATCATGATCTTGAATATTTTAATGGTATTTAATAATATTTAATATTTTTTTACATTGTTCTTTCAGAGCCCAGATTGTTTCATTTCCTATGATCATTATTTCCTTTATATTCTGATGTCTGTGGGTCGAGACGCCGTACGGAAGTTCAGCTGTAGTAACGTCTGCCAGATTTGCTATTGTCACGTTCTAATTATCGTTAGTAAAACCATTTCAAAATTAAAACCATTTCAATCAATTATCGTTCGTAAAACCATTTTCATTGATGAAAGCTTTCATAATACAATATGTTTACTGTCGTTGTTATTTTGATTACACGAATCAGAATTGTTTATCCTGAGATCATTTTCTTTTTGGATATGATTTAATTTGAATATGATCGGAAGTCGCATTATTTTTTCCATTTTTGAATTTGAAAATGCATATAAATTGAGGGAGGATTTCGATTGCAGCTACGCGGATTAACACAAGAATAACCTACAAAGCTCCTTACCCTTTGTATTAAGAATTTTATTATAGACTTCAATAATTGTTTGTTATATGGACCATTTGATAAATTAATGCTATGGTTGGACACTAGAGAAAAGCAATTAAAACTGGCAGACGATACGGCTGAGCTTCCTTACGTACTGTCTCTGTTTCGTATGTCTAATAATTTATATAATAATGTCTATTAATCAAATCTAAACATTTTATGAACGTTATATTTGCTAAGATTTTAAGCAGCAATCTTTTGCCTGCTTTCTTTCGTATCTTTTTTGGTCTTGACTTCTTTTTATCTCGTTTGTTCATCTTGCGCCATTTACCGTGCATCCATCTTCTTTTGCGGTGCATCCAACTTGGCGTGTGTGGGTGAATGCTGGATTAATGGTGATGGATGACCAGAGAGTGGTGGTGGATGAATGCTGGATTAATGGTGATGGATGAATGATGGATTAATGGTGGTGGATGAATTACCAGAGAATGGTGGTGGATGAATGATGGATTACTGGTGGTGGATGAATGATGGATTACTGGTGGTTAATGGCCAGAGAATGGTGGTGGATGAATGGTGGATTAATGGTGGTGGATGGCCAGAGAATGGTGGTGGATGAATGGTGGATTACTGGTTGTGGATGGTCAGAGTATGTTGGTGAATGACCAATGAATGCTGGTGAATGCTGAAAAAACTGAGCGAATGAAGCAACTCATGCCACAGTTGTAGGAGTTTGCAGGCAGTTTTTGCATGCCCCGTCACGTCCACATTGCCGTCACTGCTCATGCCGTTTCTTATCTTTATTCATCACCGCTTTTTTATCAGTAGAAAATTCTCGTCCTTCTTTTGTATGCTCATTATTTACTCTATAACGCGGAATTTGTTCTCTTCGTGAATATTTCGTATTTTCATCGCTAATTCTTCAAAGTATGAACTTGTTTAAGACCGTTAAAGGAAAGTTCATGAATGGATGTGTATCATTTGTATGACTTAAGATCGAAGCTTTTGTCTGAGTTGGTGAAAAAGATGCTCATCTATTTCATGCTTTCTTTAATTAACAAATCTTTTTAATTCACACTTCTGTCAAAGCACAATAACTTTTTTCCCTGTTTGTCCGGCTCTCATATTAACGTTATTGTCGACACTGAAGAAATGTTAGTTGTTTCCACCCATAACAAAGCATTACTCACTTCTACCTTACCTTCACTTAACATCATCTTAACCAAAATTTGTATTTTTATAATAATTCAGGTCTCTGACGACACTTTGTTATTTACAAGAATTTTGCGTGAATTTTTTCTCTTTTTTTTAGGAACGCAGCTGATATTTTTATTGTGATCCTTTTCTTTTCTTTGAACTGTTGACGATGAAGGGGAGGATGGTAAGGAGGCAGCGTTTTTATCCTAGAGTTACCATGGAGATGGCAGAGCTACCTATGTCCTTTCCAACACACTAAGGCCGCACGCTCCATTATTTCTATTGCAATTGCAATGATTTATTTTCATCATTGCCCTTGCATTGAGGAAATTTGCCAACTTTTCATGAAAAAATGTATATTTTCATCATTGCCCTTGCATTGAGGGAATTTTTTTTCTGAAATAAAAATATAGTAATTAACGTACGAATTTCATGATTGGAAGTTTATAGATTAGTAACAACGAGATACGAGTTTGAAATTTAGCCATTGCTGGATGTCGAAAGGAACAAGGTCGTGGACCATGCGGCCTTTGAGTTAAGAGCTGGTGCGCTGCACTAGTCCTACATCTACTTCTACTTCTACTACTACTTCTGCTACTACTACTACTTTATGTTGTTGCTGCTGCTGCTGTCGCTTTGGATGAAGTTCTGTAGCGTCTTGTGGTAGAATGTAGATCTTCGTCCAAACCTTCTACCTTCTCCTCGCTGCCTTCCGCTGTGTACCTTGTTGTTGCACTGAATAACTTTCAGTTATTGTGTTCACGTTATTCCTGAGTTTTCGTAGCATTTCATCCCCTGACTGATATTTAGTTATGACAACAGTCGCAATCGTTGCCACAATTTCACACGTTTTTTTTCCCCTCAAATTCGCTCGCATTTTCTTCACATTTGATGCTTAGGAGATAAACGAGTAGGTATATATACCGGTATATATATATATATATTTTTCCTGAAATAATTGATCAGGTTGAAATTTTGTACGCATCTCCAGTAACGTCGAGTACAGACTTGAATGCAAGAGTTGCGTTGAAAAACTTCTCTATATTTCCATTGACGGAAAATTTGGTTTTAGGACCTGAACAAACTCCTACTAAAATTATCCGAATTTAATAAATTTTCTGAGAGTTTGGTAAGAATATTATTCATGATATTTACGAGTACATGTAATTGAATATTTATTTTATTACACGAGACTTCCCAAGTATATGGAGAGAGCACACGCGTGCTGTTCCTGCTGTACATTTGATGGTAGCTCCTGATAACGTCTATCGCTCATATCGCTTCTTATCATTTGTAGTTGAGAATCGTTCAAGTAACTAGAAGAAGTTAGAATTATTATGACTGATTTACATACTTGTTCACAAGCGCACCATTTCGACAGCAGCAACAGCAACAAACGCTCTTCCATCCAAACACTTTTTATAGGACTCTTTTACACACTAAGATCAAAGTAAAAAAGGAAAATTTTATAAACTTCGTCAAGAATGAAAAATGTTAAATCAAAAACTGAATTTTTTCGTTCTTATAAATTCATGTTCAGCGCCAGGAACTGGCGTAATTGATATTTGATTGATAACTTAATTGAAATCCGTTTTGCTAAAGTTACTCTCGTTCTTTTGTCTGTAGCATTGATTCTCCTCATCTCTCCCTCTTAAAGTTGGAGTATTGTAATTCCGTATCTTTTGTCTGGAACTTGTTTGTGAAGTAACTTCGTGAGCTAACACAGACTTACCTTCTTCCCACATTGAAGGCCCATTATCGGAAATTATGGATAGACAAATCAAGTATCAAACATCTCAATCAAAACAAGCGTCAATCAAGTCGCTCGAAAATCCAAAACTTTTGCTCCGAAATCAACTAAAATGCATAATACAGGATTTGATGGTTAAATAACTTGAAGAAAATCTATCGCCATTATTTTTGCACGTATCCAAGATATTGAAATTTAGAAAACCTGATCGTAATTCCTCTAAAGTTGGCCTTCAACTCGTGTCGTTTGGGTGATTTAATGAAGCTCCAACTTACTCAAGTAATACAGTTTCTTCAGCAGCCACTCTTGCTTAATCGATACGCAATGACGCGTTAAAATTACTACGGTAGCCAATTAACTGGTAGATTGTATTCTCCATATTCTATTGAAGAACATTTCTCCTCTTATTTTCCTCATAATTGTTTTACGTCGCCTAAAATAACCGTAACTCAGATAAGTATTCTACATACTGGGTACCAGTCCGCTTAGTGTGCGAAATATACAAAAATAACGTTCATTCAGACTTTCACTCTTTACATTTTATGTGTCATTTATATCTTATTATAATTGATGTATCCTAAGACTGAAGATACTGGAGATGATGCAAAACGCGTCTAGGTTTTCAAATTATCATCGTTTTTTTTTTTTTGTGAGTAAAATATAATTAAAATTTTAAAAACTGCTTGAGACGTGAGTTTTTCAAATGTGAAGTGATCAAACGAATGAACTAACTACATTTACGTCTAAGCAAATCTCACCATCAACTAACATCAAAACTCACATCAACCTACACCATTCACACATCATTCTTTTGACGAATATGTTCATTGTTTTTATTGATAATTTTTGCGATATACTCTTTTCTAGGTACATTGCCCTCGTTCCAGTCTTAATATAATTTGTTTTGTACATATTAATGTTCTTTATCGATGGTGAGAGCTTGGGACAGATTTTTTATTTTTGTGTACACGTATTATTATTTTGGTTGAGTTAAGTTTTATATTAATGTAATGGCCATTGTTCTGTTTAATCGGTGTTGTATTGGTTGGTGTGGGCACGGGTAAAGCTTCTCAAGCCTCTCTGAACGCCGTTCTTTTATTGGGTTTCGCTTTATAATGGTTTTATATTAATGGGTTACGCTAGGTCCATGGTGAACTGATTACCTGCTTTGCAATTGAACAGTGATATATATTATACAGTGTAATGTCCATTATCCAGAGTGATATCCATGCCCATTGCTAAAATTAAACTTTGAATTCGGCTTCAAGCAAAGACATTTCTTTGAGACGACTTCCTGAAAATAGTTACGACGAGTTTACTTTGCGCAAGGAAAGAATGGTTTAAAAGAAAAATTCTTTATCACGATTATTCGACTAAGTGAGAAAATACGATTAGCACACATGTTTAAAATGCGATAACTACCGATTACGAACATCTAATTTCGAAATATAAAGCTTTAATGAAGTCCAATTACGATCATTTTAATGCTGTGCACAGATTTTGTTACTATGGGTAACCTTAACATTAAATTTCCGCACTACATCAACATTCGGTGGAAATGTTTTCCACACAAATATTTTACTCTGTAATGCAAGAAGTAACGCCAGCAAATAATCTAGTACCTCTATTGCTCCCTAAAGTTTTCCTTACTTTATTAGATTATATTCCGCTATATATTTCATATTTTTATATATATTTACTAAAAGCTAAATAAATTCTATTTTTTGTTATATATTTGAGTTGGTGGCTGAGGGGCTTGAGGTGCTTTGCCCGGTGTTGGGGCGGGAGAGCAGTTAGCGCCGCGGAAGGGAAAAGTTCCTTTCACTTTTTCACTTTCATTGAATTGGGGAAAGTTCCTTTCACTTTCATTGAATTTATTCCTTCTCCTTCGTGTTGGTCTGCCCGTCATTTGCCGCTACTGCTGCTGCTGCTACTGCCGCTGCTGCTGCTACTGCTGCCTACTGCTCCTACTCTCACTTGCCCACACTACTTTGTACCCCCTACCACAATTTATACTACTACTACTACTACTTCTACTACCTCTTGTTATCCGGCATCTACTTCAGTTGTTATTCAACAAGTCATTGTGACACCTGGTAAGTCGTTCTTTTCTGCTTCTCGCGTCTCCACCAACTGCCATTACTCATTTTCCCTTATCTCTCCTGTCCTTATGTTCAAAGCTTTACTGGTGTTTCCGTTCCTCCATCTTCCGTTCGTTCCTTCCCTTTGCACTTTCTTGTCTGCCTTGTTCCGCCTATACTTTATCCTACCCTTTCCATTTCCCATCCTGTCCTCTGTTGTTTCCTCTCCCATCCTGTCCTCTGTTATAATTATTTTGTCTTGATTCAAGCTCGAGGACATAAGAAAGATGTGATAAATGGTGCTGGCTCTAACTTGCATCTTGCTTTTCTTTCAAGTTTTTCAGTACTTTCTCAATATATGGAGACAGTTGCCTGTTGCCGTATTGAGGAAATATTTCGCTAGGTAGTTGACGGGTTTTCACATTTTCAATAATTAATGATATTACAGCTAGACCAATTCTAGGAAAAACTCAATTTCCCAGCGAAGAACGTCATTTCCAATGATATGTTTTGATTTGTTGCCTTGATTCATCTGCATTCTAATAATTGATGGTATAATTTCTCTAGATTTTGTCCTGAGTGTATTTTATTTATTGCTCTCATTTCTTTGCATTCATCAAGTGATGATATATATATAAAATCTCTATATTTTAATTTGTTGCCTTCATTTATCTGCATTCTAATAATTCATGATATAATTTCTCTAAATTTTGATTTATTTCCTTTCTCTCTTTGCATTCATTATGTGATGATGCATATACCCGCTATACGTTTTAATTTGTTGCCCTGATTTATCTGCATTCTAATTATTCATGAGATAATTTCTCTAGAATTTGATTTATTTATTTAATTCTTTGCATTCATCATGTGATAAAACATACAATCTCTATATGATTCAATTTGTTGCCTTGATGTATCTGGATATTTATAAGTGATGGTATTGCAGTTGGACCGATTCAAGGAGCCCCCAGCGTTCGGGTCGATGTGCTCATTTCTTTGCATTCATTATACAATACTCATAAACTCTATACGTTTTAATTTGTTTCCTTAATATATTTGTATATTTATAAGAGACGGTA